AGCACCTGTGTGCCTATGTGTGTAAAGCAGTGGCAGCCTGCAGGCAAATGCAGACAGACCCTGTCAGCACAGCTTCCAAGAGACAGGCTCAACAGCCAGGGACTGCAGCGGGCTCAGAATACACAGCTCCTGCACCCCTCTTCCAGTGGTGGCAGGTGGAATGTGAGACCAGATACTACCACTATGCAAGGGCATAAGTCCACCCCATCAAAGAGCGTGAAGAGGTAGCTAACACTCCAGACCAGAAGGACAACGACAAGCACCCAGAAATCAATCCTCAAGTCACAGAAATTTACAATCTAAATGACAGAGAATTCAAAATAGCTATCATAGAAAACACAACGAGTTACAAAAAAACTCAGACAGTTCAATGAAATCAGGAATAAAATTAATGAATGGAAGGAATTCTTCACATTCTTCAAAAGAAATTGAAACTATAAAGAAAAACCAACCAGAAATCTTGGAGATTAAAAACACAATGAATGAGATAAAGAAAAATCTGGAGTCCTTAAATAACAGAGCTGATATAACAGAAGACAGAATGACCATTTTAGAGGATAGAAATATAGAAATGCTTCACATGGAGGAGAGAGAACTAAGACTAAAAAGAAATGAAGAAATTATCTGAGAAGTATCCAACTCAATAAGAAAATACAACATAAGGATCATAGGTATTCCAGAAGGGAAGAGGGGGAGAGAGAAGCAGAGAGCTTGCTCAAAGAAATAATAGCTGAGGACTTTCCAAACCTGGGGAAGAAGATGGAATTACAAGTGAAAGGAGATAACAGAACTCCTAATTACATCAATGTAAAAAGACCTTCTCCAAGGCATATAGTAGTAAAACTGGCAAAAGTTGATGACAAAGAAAAAATACTAAGGGCAGCAAGGCAGAAGAAAATAATCTACAAAGGAACCCCTATCCGGCTTTCAGCAGATTTCTCAGCAGAAACCTTACAGGCTAGGAGAGAGTGGGATGATATATTCAAAATTCTGAAAGACAAAAACTTTCAGCCAAGAATACTCTATCCAGCAAAATCATCCTTCAGATGATGGAGAAATAAAAACTTTCCCAGATAAACAAAAGCTGAGGGAGTTCATTGCCACAAGACCGTCTCCTAGATGAAATGATCAAGAAGGCCCTCATACCTGAAAGAAAAAAAAAGAAAGAAAGAGAGAGAAAGGAAGGAAGGAAGGGAGGAAGGGAAGAAAGAAAAGAAAGGAAAGAAAATAAAGAAAAGAAAAGAAAAGAAAGAAAGGGTTTACGAAGCCTTGAGCAAGGAAATAAACAGGCAGACAAAATGAGAAAATTGCAGCTCTCCATCAGAACAGGTTAGCAAACACTTAATTATAACCTTAAAGATAAAGGGAAGGAAAACATCAAAAATAACTATAATCACTTTATTTTAACCACAAACTCACAACACAAAACAGAATAAATTGTGAGAACAATAATTTAGCCAGCAAAGAGGAAAAGGATGGAACTTGCTTAGACTAAGGAAATAAGAGGCTATCAGAAAATGGACTATCTCATGTATGAGATCTTTTATACAAACTTCATAGTAACCACTAAACAAAAAGTCAGAACAGAAAGTCAAATGACAGATACTGAAAAAACCATCATAGACAGCCACCAAACTGAATTGGCAGTCTGAAACATACAGGACGAGAAACAAGGGAAGTACAGAACCACCAGAAAACGAGTGATAAAATGGCAGCATTAACTGCTCATATGTCAATAATCACTCTAAATGTAAATAGATTGAATTCTCCAATCAAAATACACAGAGTGGCTGGACGGATTAAAAAACAAGACCCAACAATATGCTGCCTCCAGGAAACACACCTCAGCTTTAATGACAAACACAGGCTCAGAGCGAAGGGATGGAAGACGATACTCCAAGCTAATGGCAAACAAAAGCAGGCAGGCGCTGCCATACTTTTATCAGACAAAGTAGACTTCAAGACAAAACAAGTAAAGAGAGACCAAAAGGGGCAGTATATAATGATAAAAGGGACACTCCACTAAGAGGACATAACACTTATAAATATATATGCACCCAACACAGGAGCACCAAAGTACATAAAGCAAGTATTAACAGACCTAAAAGGAGAAATTAACAGCAACACGATAATAGTAGGGGACCTCAACACACTTACATCAATGGATAGATCATCCAGACAGAAAGTCAACAAGGAAACAGTAGAATTAAATGAAAAACCTAGGCCAGATGGACTTAATAGATACACAGAACACTCCATCCAAAACCATCGGAATACACATTCTTCTCAAGTGCACATGGAACATCCTCAAGGATAGACCATATGTTGGGAAACAAGGCAAACCTCAATAAATTCAAGAAGATTGAAATCATATCAAGCATCTTTTCCAACCATAATGCTATGAAACTAGAAATCAACTACAAGAAAAAAGATGGTAAAGTGACAAAGATGTGGAGACTAAACAACGTGCTACTGAACAACCAAGGGATCATTGAAGAAATTAAAGGAGAAATAAAAAAATCTATGGAGACAAATGAAAATGAAAATACAACACACCATCTCATACGGGATATGGCAAAAGCAGTCCTAAGAGGGAAATTCATAGCAATACAGGCCTACCTTAACAAACGAGAAAAATCTCAAATAAGCAATCTTAAATCACACCTAACAGAACTAGAAAAAGAAGAACAAATGAAGCCCAAAGTGAACAGAAGGAGGGAAATAATAAAAATTAGAGCAGAAATAAAATTGAAACCAAAAAAAGGTACAAAGGATCAATGAAACTAAGAGCTGGTTCTTTGAGAAGATAAAAAAAATTGACAAACCCTTAGCCAGACTCACAAGAAAAAAAGAAAGAAGCCTCAAATAAAATTAGAAATGAAAGAGGAAAAATTACAACAGATACCACAGAAATACAAAAGATTATAAGAGAATACTACGAAAAACTATATGCCAACAAATTGGCCAATATAGAAGAAATAGCTGAATTCTTGGACTCATACACCTCTGAAAACTGAATCAAGAAGAAATAGAGAAACTGAATAGATCAATCACAAGTAAAGAGATTGAAAGAGTAATCAAAAACCTCCCAAACTGGAAGGGAGGATGGCAATACAAATATATAATGGAAAAGGCACAGAACACAGGGGCCAGCGCCGTGGCAGAGTGGTTAAGTTCGCGTGCTCTGCTTCAGCAGCTGAGTGTTTTGCTGGTTCGGATCCTGGGCCCGGACATGGCACCACTCATCAGGCCATGCTGAGTCTCCCACATGCCACAACTAGACGGGCCCACAACTAAAAAATACAACTATGCACTAGGGGGCTTTGGGGAGAGAAAGAAGAAAAAAAAAAAAAAGATTGGCAACAGTTGTTAGCTCAGGTGCCAATCTTTACCAAAAAAAAAGGCACAGAATACAGCAGGGATTGCTGATTGCTGGAGTCTGGCGGGTATGGGCAACAATGCGTATCAGGAGAACCACGGCTGGACTTCGGACACTGCCTAATTAACTTCTGCTCGTTCTCAAGTCTTATTCTAAGAGTCGTTTCCTTGGGGAAGCCCTTGACCACCTCCCCTTCCCACGTTTAGATCAGGTTCTTCTAGGATACGTTCACAGGACCATATTTCGTCGCTTCAGAAGAGTCATTTATTACGGTTTATAATTCTTTAGTACCAGTCTTCCCTCGCTAACTTCTGAGAGAGGCTCTGGTCTGCTTTCACTTGCCATTACCTCCCAAGCGCCAAATACCGCCCCCTGCACAAAGCCGGGCTCAAGGAGTGCTGGCATAATGCTTACCTCAGAGGGGAAATTAAGGCTGTCATCAGACTGCCTTGGAATTAAGGACAAGGAGAATGTTACATTGTTACATTGTCCAGAGGACGGTGGGCAGCGCTACTCTCAGGGGTTAACTCACACCCTTAAATCCTTTTATTTTTAAATAAAAATAACTGAACTGAATATTCTATTCAAGAAATTGAGGGGGAAAGTCAGAATGAAAACAGTAATGACTTGAAACAAAATCAGTAGAAGTAATCTTTGAAAAGGCCAATAAAATAGACAAATTACTGGGGCTGGGCTGCTGGTGTAGCGGTTAAGTTTGTGCACTCTACTTGGGCAGCCCACGGTTCATGGGTTCGGATCCCAGTAGGGACCTACACACCACTTATCAAGCCATGCTGTGGTGGGCGTCCCACGTATAAAGTAGAGGAAGATGGGCACAGATGTCAGCTCAGGGCCAGTCTTCCTCAGCAGAAAGAGGAGGATTGGCAGCAGTCAGCTCAGGAGTAATCTTCCTCAAAAAAAAAAAAAAAAAAAAAAAAAAACACTGGCAAGGCTAATCAAGGGTCAAAGAAACCCAAATGCACGATGTTTGGAGTAAGTAAAGTGATGTAACAACAGATGAAATAAATTTAAAATACGGTAGAACATTATGTACAACTCTAACCAAGTATATTGGAACATTTAAAACAGACACTCTTCTAAAACGTGAAAAAGCCAAACGCTGATTCAAAAGGAAGGAAATCTGAACAGTTTGCTAACCGTGATGAGTATATGACGGTTCACCACACTGTCTACTCTTCCCTATGTCTGGGTTTCTAAAATAAAATGTTTAAAAATATGCTTTCAAGAAGTAACGCTCTCCCCTCTGGCCGGGACTCAGCTGGCTCAGCACCTGTCGCCTCCGAACCACTGGCCAACAGCTTCAGCGCGCCTCCCCGCCAGGATGCTGCCGGATGCCGGACACCGGAAACGCCGACAGCAAAACGGTCCCAGCCCAGCCCAGCCGGCTCGGGCCCGGGCAGCCAGAGCCCAACGCGCCTGCGCGCGGTGGAGGCCGCTCCGCCCCCCAGCTCGGGGCGGAAGCGCGAGCGCCCCGAGTCACGTGGCCGCCGCAGAGGGGCGGGGCGCGCGACGTGCCGCCGCGTCGCCCAGGCGAGGGGCGGCGGCGGAGCATGTGCGCGCGGCGGCGGCTCCCGCTCCCCGGGCGGACCGAGAGGCGGGCGGCGGCGGGAGCGCGGCGGCGGAGGGCGGGGGCCGGGCCGGGCGCGCCTCGCGGAGGCTGAGCGCCGGCGGCGCGGCCATGGCGTCGTTGGCCGACCGGGTGCGCGGCCACGGGCGCATCGCCGCCGGGCTGCTGCTCAACCTGCTGGTGTCCATCTGCATCGTGTTCCTCAACAAGTGGATCTACGTGCACCACGGCTTCCCCAACATGAGCCTGACCCTCGTGCACTTCGTGGTCACCTGGCTCGGCCTCTACGTCTGCCACAAGCTCGACGTCTTTGCCCCCAAGAGCCTGCCGCCCTCGCGGCTCGTGCTCCTGGCGCTCAGCTTCTGCGGCTTCGTGGTCTTCACCAACCTCTCCCTGCAGAACAACACCATCGGCACCTACCAGCTGGCCAAGGCCATGACCACGCCGGCCATCATCGTCATCCAGACCCTCTGCTACGGGAAGACCTTCTCCACCAGAGTCCGGCTCACGCTGGTGAGTGGCCTCACTCCCGGGCGCCCGGACCGTCTGCCGCCAAGTGGGGTGTGACCCGCCGCGCGCTCCGTCACCGCGAGCCCCGCCCGGGGCATCCGAGAGCGGGGCGCCCGGGCTCGTTGCGGGAGGTGGAGGAAAGCAGCGGGGCGCCCGGCGGGCTCTGGGCCCGGAGCTGTGCCTGTCTGCTTTCATGACCGCTGTTTGATGGAAATCCTTAAGTGCCGGGATGGGTGAGAAAGCGAGGCTGCACTGAGGCCTGCGATTCGGTGTATCCGAGTATCTGCACAAACTCAAGCTGGAAGCAGCCCCCCTCCCCCGAGGGCGTGAAACCGTGGGGGATAAACCTCAAAGGGCTCGCATAAAATATAAGTCTCAGAGCATGTCTGCAGCGACAGACTGCAGAGGTTTCGGCGTTTTTAAGAAGGAGATGGGCTAAAATCATTTTAGCACTTAACCACTCATAAAGTCTTAATGCTGTTATTATATGTGGATGTTATATGTTGTTTAGCCACTAGTTTGGGTCCTTTTACTCATCTGTGCGTGCGTGTGGTATTCATTTCTTGCAAAATGCAGTCCACCAACTCAGTCTTTTACCCAAAATTTTAAATAAAATTAAATGTGAACATAAATAGAGAATTATGTTTTACTTTGAGGAAATAGAATTAACGGTTTTTTCAAGTAGAAAAAGTTTATAGAGGTTCATTGTTTCCCAGTGATGTTTTTATCATTAACCTTGTAAGAGGTTCCTTGTATTCATGAAAGGAATGCTCTTGAATCTAATTTCTTTTTACCTCTTTTTCTTTACAGATTCCTATAACTTTAGGTGTAATCCTAAATTCTTACTACGATGTGAAGTTTAATTTCCTTGGAATGGTGTTTGCTGCTCTTGGTGTTGTAGTTACATCCCTTTATCAAGTGGTTGGTAATTTTTTTTTCTTTATGTGCTTTTTTAGCAGATTTCATACGTTTTGAGGCTGTATCCCAAGGTTTAGAAAATACGGTATAGAGACAGGAGACCAGTAGACTGTTGGGAAGAAAGCATGATTGCATGCACTGTGTGACTCAGGTGAAGAGAAGGAAGGAGACAGAAACTTGAGTGTGTGATGCTTGTGAGATACCGCGCACCTCTTTGTAGGTGGACGGTACCTGTGCTTAACAGTCTGAGTCTGGGGTGATGTATTACTTTCTGGGAAATCTTTCCAAAATGAATAGTAAGACTTTTTACTTGAGGACCGAGTTCATTGTTTATATTTGTCGCTTACTCTCTAGTTATAACATTATTCTGAAGGAGTGAGTACACTTCCAGAAATTTGAGGAGGAAAGGAAAATTTCAGATTTATAAATCTTTGCCTCAAAAAATATGCTGCTGTTACAACTTTTATATTGGCTTCTAATAATTTGTCTGTGTCGATATTTACGGCAGTGGGTATTTCGGTTCTTGTGCTAGCATAGTGTCTTGCCTGTAACGGGCATTCATTAAAAATTTCTTCATGGATTCACTTTATTACCATAAAGTCTCAAAAAGTGTTTTTTCTTATATAGTGGGGAAAAAACTCGGTGTAGAGTACAGTGAAACAGTATTTTCTCTATACTGAAAACCCTTGCAATGGAAATTTTGGGTGTGCCTGCACGGGGAATCAGTCAAAACGTGTAACCAATTTTACTTTTTCTACAAACATCCGCTGGTTGTAAACTAAGACATTCTTGTTATGAATGTTAGCAGTTTAATAATACAGCCTTAGCGTCTTAACCTTTCTAGTACTGATCCTTTCAGAAACATTGCGATGGCAAGTTTGTTGGGTTGAATACGTTTTTTAGTGGCAGAGAAGCAGCTTAAGTAGAAGATGAGGCCGGTGGCAAAGGCTGGAGCACAGACTCCGTCTTGTCACTTGACTCCAATAAAGTCTGTCTTTTACTATAGAGTAATCAGAGGACACTCAGCTTTGTGCTTTAAGAAAATGGTATTTGAGCATACTTCAGGGGGCTTAAATTTTGTTACTAAGTACAGTATGTGAACATTCTTACTTATCTTTTTTGCTTAGTGGACTTTTTCTTTTTTGCCTGGTATGGATTAAATATTTACTAAATAGAGCAAGAATTTTGTTTATTGAACATTAGAATTTCTAGTATTCCTTATACATAATTTCAATTCAGAATACTCACTGTCCATGCTAATATGACCATTTTTGTTCATACAAGTCTCAAAATTGCTATAGATTAGAACCAAAGGATTCTTATCCCTCAGGTAGATATTTGAAATGAGATTGACCAAGGACTGATAGTGGACTAACAAATGGGTGAAGTTTTCAATTATCAGTAATTGGTAAAAGTACTGTTACAGAGTAGGCATATTCCCCCAAAATTCCTTTTAAAGAAAGTTGTGTTTTCCCATTGGATGCAGGTGTAATTTCTAGATCCTTTCTTCTTATACTGGTGGGGCATGAAAAGGAGTTAAAAGATGGTGATCAGACCTCAGCTTTAGTTATAGAAAGAATGATGTCTTGGGGCCAGCCCAGTGGCGTAGCAGTTAAGTTTGCACATTCCGCTTCGGTGGCCCTGGGTTCACTGGTTTGGATCCTGGGTACAGACCTACACAGAGCTTATCAAGCCATGCTGTGGCAGGCGTCCCACATATAATATAGGGGAAGGTGGGCATGGATGTTAGCTCAGGGCCGGTCTTCCTCAGCAAAAAAGAGGAGGATTGGCAGCAGATGTTAGCTCAGGGCTAATCTTCCTCAAAAAAAAAAAAAAAAAAAAAAGACCATTGTTCAGTTCATTCCTTCAGCAGACTTTTCTTCTGCCTCATGGTCAGCCCTGAGGATGCCATGATGAAAAGCAGCTGCAGTCCAGCGTTGGAGACACCCGTGGACAGCTGACCACAGTAGTGTAGCTCAGGGTCTGAGGAAGGCTCTGAGGAAGACAGGGAGGAGGTGCAGTTCTGCAGGAGGGTGGTGAGGTGAGACTTGATGGAAAAGCTAACAATTTACATTAAAGGACCCACTGGAATTTGCTTAGCAAAGAAGCAGAGCACAGGGCTGTCTTGGCGATGATGTGTGAAAGTGGGGAGCATTTTTGGAGAGCTTGACTCACTTGAGGAGGCTGGACCCTAGTTGAGGAAAGATGAGCCTGAGGGGTGGGTAAGACAGGCGGCAGAGGCCACACTGATGCTGGGGAGAGGAGGGTCGCTGGGGTGGTAACTCGATCGTGCTCTGTGTTCTAGAAAATCAACTCCAGTGACAGCGAAGGGTGAATAAGAGAGGGAGACAGGCAGAGCGCTCCATGGTTCAGGGAGACAGGAACAGGGACAGTGGTAGTGGATGAGGGAAAACAGACTCCAGAGGCCTTTTGGAGCAAGAATTAGTAGACCTGACTGAATGGGAGGAAAGCCAGGAGTCTGATCCTTGGAGGAGGTTGTATCATTAATTGTCGGAGCAACACAGGAAGAGCCAACTTGAGGAAGGAAGTAATGAGCTTGATTTTGAGCAAGCTCCTCGTTATCTAAGTGAAGACAGCCAGTGAGCTGTTGAGAGGTGAGTTAAAGGATGCTCAGGGAAGGAGGTGAGAGCCGTAGATGTCAGTAGATAGTAACAGAGATCAGTCAGGAGGCAAAAGAGGGAGAGCAGACATCTACCTGAAGATAGTGAGCGAGGGGACAGTGCAACGCAGAGGTCAGGTTCTTCCAGGAGAGATGGGAGGTTCTGCAGGGAGCTCCAGCAGGAGGGCCGAGGGGCATCCTCTGGATGTGGCCATTGACCGTGCCAGTGCCCTTTGGGAGAGCAGTTTCATTGAGGGGGCAGGGCAAAAGCCAGGCTGCACTGCGGGAGGGGACAGCAGAGGCCTGGAGAGTTGCCACCGCACCAGGCACATCTGTGGCAGATGTGCAGCTGCCTGGGGGCGCTGCAGGAAGGGAGGGGCGTGCGTCCAGCCTCTGCGTCCACTGCGGCGTCCCAGGCAGCGCACAGCAACAGAATAGATCCTTTGTCCCTCCTGTTCACAGAAGACTCTTAGCTGAGGCTGGCAGGAGTAGGCTTCAGATTTCCTGCCCTTCTGTTTTTGTCTTGGTGAGTGTCTGTAGACTTAGAGTTTATGTAACAGGATACCCAGACCTACAGGAAAAAGAATTATGTAGGACAGTTACTCAAAGGCCTGGCTGTTCGTGCCAGATCGTATTCGAACAGTCCTATCAAGCTTTCTTTTCTTTTAAAGATTGGCACCTGAGCTAACAACTGTTGCCAATCTTCTCTTTTTTTTCTTTCCTTTCTGCTTTTTCTCTCCAAATCCCCCCAGTACCTAGTTGCACATTCTAGTTGTGGGTCCTTCTAGCTGTGTCATGCTGGATGCCACCTCAGCATGGCCTGATGAGCAGTGCCATGTCCGCACCCAGGATCAGAACCAGTGAAACCCAGGCCGCCGAAGCAGAGTGTGTGAACTTAACCACTCGGCCACAGGGCCGGCCCCTCAAGCTTTCTTTAAAGCCGCCTTTTCAGTTATATTTGTGAAGCATTTTTGGGGTCTGATGGGACTTGTGGCTTTGAGGTGCTGGCTCTGCTAAACGAACCACTCTTCTAGGATTCGTGACTGTCTGATTTATTGAAGTATGTTGGTGGAGGATACCCACAGAAAATCCTCCATCAGGAGGAAAATTCCTTCTATTGATTGGCTTTTCCAAAGTGAATGAAGGACCTCACACACCTTTCCAGCCGCACACATGGCAGCCACCTGGAATAACTGGAATTCTTGTCCATCTCTCATTAGCCTGCCCTGCCCCTGGTCGTCTTTGGGGAGGCCATTTTTAGAAAGTAGTGAAGTCCAACACTGCATCTGTATTTCTATTTATCACCTACGTTTCCATTCCTGCCTCATTTCCCAACATCTCTGATGCTTGGGGCCCCCGTAGGCAGTGACTTTCCCCATTTAGTAGCATCAAGAGGGAAGAGGGGGGGCTGGCCCCGTGGCCGAGTGGTTAAGTTCACGCGCTCTGCTGCAGGCGGCCCAGTGTTTCGTTGGTTCGAATCCTGGGCGCGGACATGGCACTGCTCATCAAACCACGCTGAGGCGGCGTCCCACATGCCACAACTAGAAGGACCCACAACGAAGAATATACAACTATGTACCGGGGGGCTTTGGGGAGAAAGAGGAAAAAATAAAATCTTTAAAAAAATTTAAAAAAAAAGAGGGAACAGGGTTGTTTTCCTCCTTCTTTATAATTGAGAGGAAAAATAGATTATCCGACATTGAATAAGCTTTTTCATCCAAGGTGCTTAAAGGACATTCGTGTCTATTATTGATCTTTGAAATCTTGTAGACTAATTGGGCATTTCTTCTCCCCTAGCCCTGCCCCATGTTCCCATCTTTGTGGCTAGAGTTGCATCTTTCATCTATTAAGTGATGCTATTTTTTTTTTTCCTGCCTAACTTGTTTTATGTCCTAATTCTCAGTGGGTGGGAGCCAAGCAGCACGAACTGCAGGTGAACTCGATGCAGCTGCTGTACTACCAGGCTCCCATGTCGTCTGCCATGCTGCTGGTCGCTGTGCCCTTCTTTGAGCCGGTGTTTGGAGAAGGAGGCATATTCGGTCCCTGGTCAGTTTCTGCTTTGGTGAGTTCTAATTGTTTCAGCATCTAAGAAACAAGATAATAATCCCTCCATTATCGATGCACTCTTCAGTTTTCAGAGCACTATCTTGGGTCCGTTCTCACATGTAATCTTCGTAATCACTCTTTAAGGGAGGCAAGGTAAGGGTTAGTTTTCAGATGATGAAACTGAAGCACAGAAAGGCTAAGGGACTTGCCTAGAGTTGGACAATTTTTCCGTGGCAAAATCAGGACTAGAATTCAGGTTTTCTGATGCCTGGTTACTGTTCTGACCCCACCAAGCTATCACCACAAATAATTTCGGCATTTTGTTTTTATTTTTTTACAATGAAAATGTAGCTTTATTAATTTTGTTTTAATAATATAAATAGTACGTGCTCATTGTATAGATTTTGAATACACCTAAAAATATAAAGAAACTAGAGGTGCCCTAGAATCCTGCCACACTAAGATAATCACCTTTGCCATTTTGACGATCATTTCATGGATCTCTTTTTCATAAACGTGTAGACACATGCACATGTGTGTGATTTTATACACATGGAACATCATATATACGCTGCTTTTATCATGGATTCCTTTTACCCAGCCCTCTACCTGTCCACACGTCAACATCCCATTACTCCAGCCCTGTCCCTCGATGTGAGTTACGTTAACATTCTTGTGTTTGTTCTTCCATACTTTTCTCTCTGCTATACCTGCCCATATAAATACACAGTGTGCATGTGCATTTATACATACATTGAACATTTGTTTCCTTTACAACAGTGGGATCAGATTATGCATGATTTTCTGTATCTCACTTTTCTCACTTAATATCTCATGATAATTTTTTTTTTTTTAAAGATTTTATTTTTTTCCTTTTTCTCCCCAAAGACCCCCGGTACATAGTTGTATATTCTTCGTTGTGGGTCCTTCTAGTTGTGGCATGTGGGATGCTGCCTCAGCGTAGTTTGATGAGCAGTGCCATGTCCGCGCCCAGGATTCGAACCAACGAAACACTGGGCCGCCTGCAGCAGAGCGCGTGAACTTAACCACTCGGCCACGGGGCCAGCCCCTCTTGTGAGAATTTACCAAAATCATTCTTTTCAGTGTTCTCGCCACTGTGAACAGTGTTGCAGTACACATCCTTGTACCTGCGTCTGCCTGAACTGGCACTTTTTCCCTGTGGAATAGAGTCCTAAGATTGAAATTGCCACATCAAAGGGATGTGTGCTCTGGGGACATTTCAAGTTAGAAAGTGTAACCCCCTACTTAGGGAAAGAAGTTCTGCTTCTCGTAACTTTAACCTTTGGAACAAAGCCAGTAGGCACGTCCTTCCTGTTGGTGTTCATTTATCAAACGTGCATGGCCCTGACTCTGTTCCAGGCTCGATTCCAAGCACTTTGCAAACATTAACTCACTGATTCCTCAGAACGGCTGGATTGGGTGGATGCTCTCATTAGTCCTGTATTTACCGAGAGACAGAGTTAGTGCCTGATTCAAGATCCCACAGCTCACAAGCGGAGCCAGAGTCTGAGTCCATGCGCTCTGGGTCCAGAGTCGGTGTTCCTTGCCACCGCGGTGCTGCCTGTGAGCAGACTGACGGCTGGTCCGCGTTCATACCCTTTGGCGTACACCCTTTTCTCCAAGTCACTCGCACCAAACTGTTCATGTGTAGCAGTTCCACAGGGTGGATTCAAGTGTAATCTGCTCTGTGGTTTAAAAAAGGGAAGCAACCTGTGTTAACCCAGACGCTGCCTTAATCTACATAACATCTTTTAAAAAAAGAAAGAAAGAAATCACTGTACCATCTCAGATGATATTTCCGCTTAATTTTACAAAAGTTCTAGTCATCTTGGTTATCTGGTCTTCAAACCATCGCAGCTTAGACACTTGGAACAGAAGGGGAGAGGCTTTTTGCGATGGGCCTTTTGACAGATTTGAAAAGAGGAAAGCAGCAGCAGGACTGTTAAAAAAAAGTCAAAGGAGCTGAGAGCACAGCAGCAGGAGGCAACGTCCCTGACGGCATCCGTCTCTGAGTGGACCCTGTCGTGTGTGAATGATGAGCCAGGTCTGCAGGAAGTGGGGATGTACCATCCTGCGAACCCAATAAAAATGACACTGATACCTTTCTAGAAACAGGTTTAAAATCTTTAGGACCAGGTTGCTCTTAGCTGAAAATTTAATGGACCTTACTGTTGTAAAACAAGTGAGATAATAGTCTTTTACCTAATAGGACACAAATCCCAGTCCTCTAGGCCTCTGACTGCATCTAGAAACTGGTAAGACAGCCCGGGGACAGAAAGAATCTTCACCTGAGACGTGTTTTCTTTGGAATTTAACTTCTTAATAATTCAAATGATAACTAATATTTGATCTCAATTCTCTTATTTTAGAAATGGAAAGTGGTTTATTGCTTTTTAAATAAAACGGTGGGGTGGGTGGTCCAGGGGGGTGCAGTGGTACAGCCTGCTCTGCCCGCCCTCGGCCAGGTGGCTGCGTTCGCTGTCCCGTGCACGCACCTTGGGCCTTGGCTCCGAGGTCGCTGTCCCGTGCACGCGCCTTGGGCCTCGGCTCCGGGGTCGCTGTCCCGTGCACGCGCCTTGGGCCTCGGCTCCGAGGTCGCTGTCCCGTGCACGCGCCTTGGGCCTCGGCTCCGAGGTCGCTGTCCCGTGCACGCGCCTTCGTCCTCAGCTCCGTGCTTTGGCTGTGCTGCCTTTGCTGCTGGACATCCTACCCTCTCTGCTTTCTTTAATCTCTGTGTACATTTGAGACCCAAAGACTTTTCTCGCTGTCCCAGCCCCAGATGACGTCTCCCGCCTAGAGGATCACGTGGAACTTATTGTCTGTTTGCCTGTGAAGGATGTTTTTTCTTTTATTACCTGAGCTGTAGGTGTGGTGTTGCCCCCTGTCTCTCAGGTGGTTAGGAGGTGGCACAGCACAGTGGGTTATGAGCAGGGACTCCAGGACCAGATTGCCCTCTGGGCTTAAATTTCACCCTTCTGCTTATTAGCTGTGTGTCTCAAGCAAATTGCTTTCCCTTTCTGTGCTCCGTTTTCTTGTCTGTAAAAAGGGATGATATTTTACTATCTTGTGGCTGTTTGTGAGGATTAAATGAATTAACATATAGGAAACATTTAGAATAATTCTTGGCACTATGTAAGTGTAAGCTATGATTGGCATGAATTTTGTTATGTCCTCAAGTGGTTTCTCAGATCTTTAAGGGCAAGAGCCTGTTGTGTTCCTCACAAGGCCTGGCCTGGTGTTCTGGATATCCAGTGAATGCTTATTGATTAAGTAGAAACAAATGTGAGCAATTCAATAGAAAAACATCTGGAAGGATATGTGCCAAGGTACTAAGAGTGGTGCGTGGTTGGGATTATAACAATTCCTTAGATCCTTTTTACTTATCTTTATTTTCTGATTTTTGTATAATGAGTATGTATCACTTTTATAATAAATTATTACAAAATAATTTTTCTTCAGATGGATAAGAAAAAATGAACCTGGAAATTCACATTCAGAGATAGGATATTATTGGAGAATTTTCCATTGAATTTTGTAGACGAAATTACATTTCTGAATATTATTCATTGTCCTGTACCCTTAATGCTTGGTGTCTTCCAAACTGGTTTTCGCTTTTAAATCTTGTCTTAACGTTTGATATTTGAGTCTTTCGAAAAGCCTAATGAAATGTGTTTTTACCTGACGATGGTAGTGATTACAGTTGCTTTGCGTTAATGATATTTTTGGTTTATTTGTAGCTTATGGTGCTGCTGTCTGGAGTAATAGCTTTCATGGTGAACTTATCAATTTATTGGATCATTGGGAACACCTCACCAGTCACGTATCCTTTTCCTAATAACTTAAAAATTCATAGTCTTTTATATTTTCCAAAACTGTCACATTCATTTCCTTATCTGAGTCTCACACTTACTATTGCATGGCCTGAATTAAGTAGGGAGAGTCATTTTTAACCTTTTACTACCTCATTTCACATTAGAGTCTGCACAAATGTAAAGAAATATGAACTGGGGAAATATTAACTTTCTGTATCTTGAATGCTTTTGAATTTTTGTAAGTAATAGGTTACCTTTTCCCTTATCAAAATTAACATGGAGGAGCTGGCCCAGTGGTGTAGTGGTTAAGTTCACATACTCCACTTTGGCAGCCTGTGGTTCGCGGGTTCGGATCCCTGGCGTGGACCTACACGCTGTTGATCAAGCCATGCTCTGGTGGCATCCCACATACAAAATAGAGGAAGACTGGCACAGATGTTAGCTCAGTGACAATCTTCCTCAAGCAAAAAGAGAAAGATTGGTAACAGATGTTAGCTCAGGGCCAATCTTCTTCACCAAAAAAAGAATAATAAGATGGAGCTCTGTGGTTTGCACGTAGTGGGGTTACATAAATATTTGTTGAGTGAATAAAGGGATGGACGCTTGGTTTTTCGCTCAGTTTTCAGTTATCTGTAGTAATAAAGTAGAGGTATGGTTAATCCAGGTAACCAAAGATAATTTCAGACCATTGACCTCTGACTTTATGGTTTTGTACTTATTTGGATATGAATGTGCCTGTTTTCTCAATCTTCCTTTAAATCAAGAAATGAAGTCATACCTTGGAGGTCTGATCAAACTCCACTGCCCATTTGTAACGTTCTGCTTCTCATTCGGTTTCTGCCCGAATTTCACTCTGCCTCCACTCTTGAGCACATGCAGAGAATGGATCTCCCCACATGAGAGGTCGTGCTGCATCCGAGTGTGCTGAATGACATGCACGGGGGAACACTCAGGTGTCACGTGCTTGCCAACTATGAATAAATAGCAACAGTAAGAGCAGTCTCTTAGAAAACCAGCATTGTTGGAAACACCGTGTGTCCTGGGCCCTTTAATTCTCACAGCAGCTCTGTGAGGCAGGCCCCCTTGTTTTATGCTGCAGAGGAGGAAGTGGAGGCGCAGAGAGGTTCAGTAACTCACCTAAGATCATACAGCTCACAGCGTGGCGGCCAGATTTGAACCACGCGGTCCCGTCCCGGAACTCGTGCACCCTGCACCCCGTCACAGCATCCACGTCTGGGCCCTCATTCAGAGCACTCGTTCAGTCAACAGATGCTGATCGAGCGCCCACTGTAAACCATTCACTGACATCATGAATGTGTCAATACTGAATGTCTGTCATATGTCAGGCACTGGGGATGCATAGTGAACCAAACGGACGAAAATCTCTGCTCTGACAGGCTTAAATTCTGGTGGGGAAGCAGACTGTAGACAAGGAAAATAACAAGTGTCCTCATGCAGGGTTAGACAGTGTTAAGTGCCGAGGAGAAGAGGATATGAGATCTCGGGGACAGGGTTGCAGTTTTATGGGGGGGAGCCAGGAAGTCCTGTGCAGAAGGGACTGGAGTAAAGAGCTGGGGAAGTGCGGCTGCCCCGTGCAGGTCGGGAGGAAGAAGATCCCGGGCAGAGGGGACAGCTGGGGGAGTCTCAGGCAGGGGGGGCCTGTGCAGCTGGAGCAGGACATGCAGGGCGGAGTGTGCTGGGGCTCCGAGGGGGCAGAACCAGATTGAGAAGAGCTTCTGTGTCAGGACTGTTACTCCAAGGATGACGGGCAGCTGTTGGAGTTTTGAGCAGAGACATGACCTGGTTTTACTCATGTTCTCAGAGGATCACTCTGGGCCGCTGTGGAGAATAGACTAATGCAGGCTTTCCCAGCCCCAGTGCTGTTGACCTGTTGGGCCAGACAGTTCTTTGTGGCAGAGCCCTGTCCTGTCCACGGGAGGAGGTTTGGCAGCATCCCCGGCCCCTACCCGCTAGATACCAGTAGCCCTCCTTCCCCAGTTGGCACAACCAGATGTGTGTCCAGGCCTTGCGCAGGTGGCACAGTTGCCCCTGGCCGAGAACCACTGGGCTAGAAGAGGCAAAGGGAGAAGGGGACCTCCGGGAGGCCACTGCAGATCCAGTTCACAGGTGACGCTGGCGTGCACCGGGTAGTAGCTGGATGCAGTGGGAGGCGATTGGATTTGGGGCACGTTTTCAAGCAGAGCCACCAGGTTTTGCGACGAACTGGCTGTGGAGAAGAAGAGAGGAAACAAGCTTGACTCCCGGGGTTCGGCCTGAGTACCTGGGAGGATGGAGGTGCCGTCACCCGGGACAGCACAGCCTGAGGGAGTCAGGTTGAGGAGGAAGAGCAGGTGCTCAGTTTTGGGTAAACAGGTCTGAGAGCTCAGGGTCGAGGTCTCACTGGAGAGAGTCCAGGGTCAGTAGTGTGTGGACGTGGTTTGCAGCAGTGAGGCTGGCTGAGGTGAGCAAGCCAACAAGGGGAAAAAGAAAAGACGCCCAGGCAGTGAGTCCGGGGTCACTTCAGGGTGGAGAGTCCAGGGAGATGAGAGGAGCCGGCAGAGGAGGAGCGAGCAGGTGGGCGGAGGGAGAGTCCACCCACCACTGAGGCGGAGGGGTCCCCTTGTCCGGTGCCACTGACCGGCAAGCGTGAGGACGACGGGAGACCGATGGAGAGGTAGGAAGGGGGAGGGTACCGGTGGTTCTGACAGAGCTTTCAGTGAGTTGAGGGGAAGCTTGACCAGGGCAGACTGGAGAATTAGAGGAATTGGGAATATCCAGTGTGGACTGTTCCTTTTTTTAAATTTACAAAAGGATGCACTGAAGGTTTTTTGTCTCTTTTTTTGAGCAGGTTTGCCCTGGGTAACATCTGTGCCAATTTTCCTTTTTTTTTTTTTTTGCTTGAGGGAGATTCTCCCTGAGCTGACATCTGTTAGCTCTTCCTAGAGGAAGAACCATCTCCCTCTGTTTTGTATGTGAGCCGCCACCACAGTGTGGCCACTGACGGACGACTGCTGCAGGTCCGCGGCCGGGAGCCAAAATGAGGCTGCTGAAGCAGAGTGTGCCAAACTTAACCACTAGGCCAGGGGCCGGCCCCTGCAGAATTGCTTTAAATTTGCCTTTCCTCTAGTAATATCTTTAACGGATCGTGAGCTCCTTAGGAGAGACGCTGAAGCGTCAGAGCTGTGTGCTCGGGGATGCTCGTGACTGAAGGTGGAGCTGTTCTGTGATGGCCGGAGTCAACCCCCTTGGAAGGGCCTCCCTCCCTTAGGAAGTCCCCTCTGTCAGGACAGGTCCCTGTGACATGGCCACGCTCCCCTGCCCAGAGGGGACTTCAGGTGCTTAGTTGGGCCCAGGACAGAGGAAAGGGCCAGGGCGTGAGGTCAGACAGGGAGTGCGTGCCCAGCTCTGCCCGCCGTGGGCCCGAGCCAGCTGTGGAGCTCTCAGCCTCACCCTCGTCCCTTACGACGTGGGGGAAAGAAGGGCTGCGATGCTGGGCTGTTGGGAGGGTTTGAGAGAGCAGGTGTCAAGCACCTGGCAGAGGTTTATTATGCAGAAATCCTGTTCCTGGTGACTGTCACTGCAGCTGACACACATCGTGCTGGCTGTGTGCTGGAGGCTTAGCGTGTATCCACCTAGTTAATCCTCACAGTAACCCTGTGGGCAGCTGTCCTCTGTCCCCAGTTTATATAGACGAGAACACCGAGGCACAGAGCAGTCGCTGTTTCTAGTGTCATTCTTTGGAAGAGTAGACGGGTACACATCAAACATCTGAAAAATAACAAAGTACTAATTTATGTAGAAAAAACACGTGTACAGTGTGTAAGGAAATCATTTTTAAAGGAACGGTGTGTGTGTGTTGAGTGCCTTAAAGGAACAGGGATTTGGAGGCCCCGTGCACAGCAGCGAGTTCCTGGCCGTGCACTACCCTGGACGTGGACTTTGGAGTTACACAGCCCTGCCTGTGTCTGCACTCCAGCCCTGCCGCCTGCGGGCTCTGGATCCCAGGTCCCTACAGCCCTCGGGCCTGCACAGTTGTGGAGTGGGAAGGGTGGGACTGCAGGGAGGGTACACGCGGACCTGCAGCCAAATGGCATCACGTGTGTGCCCGGCACAGCGCCCCGTGTGTCGCTCATGCTCAGTGTCACTCCCTCCCCTTGCCCTGTTCCCCCTAAACCTGACGTACGGGCTGAGTCGGCTCTCCGGCGCCTTGCACACCTCACCCCTCAGCTGAGGGGCGCTTGTTAGGAATGGCACCATCAAGCTTCATCGTCAACTGCTGTCCCTCGTACCTCCTCTGTCCCTTGTTCTGAATTCCTTTCCCAGCCTGACCTTGTAGCCTCTTCTCCTCGTTGAAGGTCAGCAGGGGTAGCCGGGGCAGTCTCCTGTCGCTGATTGAAAACCTGCGTGAGGAGGCGAGGGTTGCCCCGGCGCTTCCCTCCGTGCCCGTGTGCTGTAGCTGGGGCTGCTGTGCAGTCCGTGCAGTCCCTCCCGCCACAGGAAGCCTGTGCTTCACACGCGTGTGTGCATGTGTGTGAGTGTGAACGTAACATCCCGCTTGTCATCCTTTCCGTCCTTATCGGAGCCTCAGCTATAACATGTTCGGCCACTTCAAGTTCTGCCTCACTCTGTTTGGAGGATACGTCCTGTTTAAGGACCCGCTGTCCGTCAATCAGGGTCTCGGCATGTTGTGCACGTTATTCGGCATCCTTGCTTACACCCATTTCAAACTCAGCGAACAGGAAGGAACTAAGAGTAAATTGATACAACGTCCTTAACCAGATTTTTGTGGAGAAAAGAAAGTCACCCCAAGAAGATAAAAAAAGTTTAGTGCACGAGTTACTTTCAAAGAAGAAAAAAATGCTGCAGAATTCATTGAGTGATGGTTTGCAAGAAGGAACACAAAGGAAATTTTATTCATAAATATGACTTTCTCTTTTACAGAACCTTTTTTAAAAAACTTAATTCTCTAAAACAATGGCTCATGCTTCTTTTCAAAGATGAGTGTATGAAGTCGGGTGGGGGGGGCCAGTGTGGTCACACCAGTGAGGTCGTGGATACGGTTCTGCAGCAGGGGCTGAGGCAGCCGTGGGCTTGCCCGACAGCCGTGTGGCGGCCATGTGTGTGCACAGTCCTCTGAAGAAGGCCACACGGGCTGCCCCCCTGCCGTAGGGGGGCCCCAATGTGAGCGAGAGTATGATCTCACCAAAGTGTTCAAGTCAGAATTTAAATCTACCATTTCTGTTTTAGCTGGTTTAGTTTAACTTCCTGTTTATTTATAGAAATGAAGTATCATTTATAGAAAGGAAAGTGGAGTAAAGAAGAGCAAAAGACAAAATCCACTTCTAAAAGCACCTTTTTCTAGTAGGAAATTGCTGTAAGGAGTTACACGTGGTAAAAAAGCTGCAGTTCAGGTAGGTATTCTCTTGTTTCTGAGCTCTCAGTGAACTCTAGAAACGATGAATGGAGTTAAAAACAAGGCAGCTCCGTGTTTGAATGGCCCGAAGACCGTCGGTGGAGCTGAGCAGGTTTCTTCCTGTCCTGGTGGCTGTTCTCTGGCCTCTGAGCAGGTCACATCGGAGATTTCTCGGCACCCCCTCCCTGCTGGCGCTCCCCACTGCGGCTGAGGTGTCCACGGAGCCATCTCTGACACTGAAGGATCTGTGACTGTCCAGCCTTTCTGAGGTGGCCGAGGGACACTTACGCAGCAGGTCAGGGCAGATGCTGTCTCAACACTAAGCAGAAAGCTGGTGAAAATATGAGGAAAGAGGGGGAAGAGAAGCAGGAAAATAGCCAATACTTGACTAGTTCCTTGAGTTTTTAAAGGGATAATTTTACAAAACTAGGGTACGAGGGAAATCCATGATTTCCACTTAAGGAAATTTAGTGCCATATGTTTAATCGCAGAACGTCCTTCTGCCTTCCACCTTTTTGACATTTGAGCATTAACAGCAGTTGCTGGGGGCGGCCCGGTGGCGCAGCGGTTAAGTGCCCATGTTCCGCTTCACCGGCCCAGGGTTTGCTGGTTCCGATCCCGGGTGCAGACGTGGCACCACTTGGCAAAGCGTGCTGTGGTAGGCGTCCCACATATACAGTAGAGGAAGATGGGCACAGATGTTAGCTCAGGGCCAGTCTTCCTCAGCAAAAAGAGGAGGATTGGCAGCAGTTAGCTCAGGGCTAATCTTCCTCAAAAAGAAAAAAGCAGTTGTTGATAACCTCTCACGATAAATTGACTGAGACAGGTAATCCTCTTGTAATATTTCTTTTTCTAAATGTTATTTGTAAGCTTTAAATGAGAAGACTCTTAGGAGGACAAAGAGCCATGTGTATAAAATACACCTTTTAGGGTTTTGTCTTGGCCTGTTTGAAATGAAAAGCCACTGAAAATCTATTTTGACGGGGATTTCAACACATCATTCTGTTATATGATTACTATATGTGATTGTGTTTTTGTTTTAAATCTTCTTTGGTTCTTCTCAGTTTCCAAAGATGTATTTTATCGTGCTAGGAAGTACGAAGCAATTTGTCTCACCAGATGAGCCTCAGGCCTTAACGTTTGTCTAAGTAATGTTCTCTGTGTATGTTTAAATTAACATATAATTATTTCCCCAAGGCAGGAGACAGCATTTCAGCACAGTGAGGATTGTGTGACTTCCGTGCGCTGACAGCTGTGTTGGTTGTGCCACGTACAAGTTCTTCTCGACTGTAAATGCAGCGTGTGTGTGTGTGTGTGGGTTGTAACAAATGGTGTCAGTAGGAAGGCAGTGAACGGTTGGAGCAAGATAGGCTGGGTACGTACCTGGAAGTGGATAAAGTATGTGCTACTGGAACTGGAATCTGACCCACATTCCTTGCGCTGAAGATGCTCTTCCCACTGAAAAGGAAGTTTCTTGGGGAAAACTGCACCAGTTGACCGGGACCAACCACAGAGACAGACCGGAAGGCAGGGCCGCGGAGGCACACGCTGTCCTGTTCCCGATGGAGCCGCACTTGTTTCTTTATCCTCTGTTAAGTGACTGAACTTCGCTTTTTACCCGTTACAAATAAAGAGAACCTGATGTTTGTACTTGCGTGTTGCCTTTTAGAACCGTTGGGAGAAGGGCCGCGTCCCTGTGCGTGCGGCGGCAAGGCTGGCCAACGCCGGCTGCACGGCTCCCAAGCGTGCAGAATCTAGTGAACCAGGTCCTCGTCTCCCTTTTAAAATAACGTAAAGGAGAAATCTTTCTCTGGGAAGTGAAGCAAGCTTTCTTGTGTTTCATTTTTAAAAATACTTGTTAAACCTTGCTATTTTTAAATCACTAATCATTGTGTTTTTTAAAACATTTATTTGAAAGCACCAACGTTAATCCAGCACTCCACAGTGACTCCATCAGTAAATAGTTGTTGGGTGAATAAAGATGCAGGATTGCCAAAGGTGAATGTCTGATTACAAGAGTGCAGACGAGATTTATTAGATAGATTCTGTTCGCATTTGTTCCCAGACTTGAACTGGATTATACTTGCTACGTCAGGGATACAATGTTACTTTAATTCACTCAATTAATTGAGTTTATTGAGTGCGTTTTATGTTCCAGGGAATGTGCTGGGTACCTGCAAAGACGGTCCTTTCCCCCCACCCAAAGATTGGCGCCTGAGCTAACATCTGTTGCCAATCTTCTTTTTTTCTTTCTTTTTTTCTTCTCCCCAAACCCCCCCAGTACAGAGTTGTAAATTCTAGTTGTGAGTGCCTCTGGTTGTGCTGTATGGGATGCCACCTCAGTGTGGCCTGATGAGCAGTGCCATGTCTGTGCCCAGGATCGGAACCAGTGAAACCCCAGGCCACCGAAGTGGAGCGCACAAATTCAACCACTCTGTCACGGGGCTGGCCCCAAGATGGTCCTTTTATGCACAGACAGACCTGTGTTCCCTATGATCTTAAGAAACATCTGTCTAGCAGAAGAGATAGATGTTAATTAAATAAAAACAAAATTTATCAGAAATTCAGACAAATCCTTAAAGGAACATGGTCCACTAAGAACTTACATAACAAAAGAATCTGGCCCAGGATTGGCTGTTGGTGAAGGTGTCCATGAGGAAGGATGACTGAGCTGAAATGTGAGGGCTGTTTAGGAGACAGCTAAGCAGAGGGAGGGGATTGCATTCTGGGAAGAGGGAATAGCACATACAGAGGCCCATTGGTTGGAGGAATTACGAGGCGTTTAAAGAACTGCAGAAAGGATAGATTGTAGAGACTGCATTTAGAGGTGAGGAGGTGCTGTGATATGAGACTGGAAAGGCAGGCAGGTGTCAGACCGTAGACTCTTGTAGGCTATGTTAAGAATTGAGTAAGAGGGGCTGGCCCCGTGGCCGAGTGGTTAAGTTTGTGCGCTCCGCTGCAGGTGGCCCAGTGTTTCATTGGTTCAAATCCTGGGCGCGGACATGGCACTGCTCATCAAACCACACTGAGGCAGCGTCCCACATGCCACAGCTAGAAGGACCCACAACTAAGAATATACAACTGTGTACCCGGGGGCTTTGGGGAGAAAAAGGAAAAAAATAAAATCTTAAAAAAATAATAAAATAATTGAGTAAGAGCAAGAGGGAGTGTTCTGAGCGTTGTCACAGTCAACAAATGGACGAGAACTCAAGAGAGGCTAGGAGACCAGTTGGGAGTCCACTAATGAGGTACGATGGCAGCTAGAGGGGTGGGGAGGGGAGATGATAGAGTGGATAGAGTCAAGAGAACTTAGTAGACGGAATCAACTGAACTTGAGGTGGATTGAAAGTGGAGGGCGGGTGGGGGGTGAAGTCAAGAATCACATGTATCTGATTTGCGCACTTGATAGAGAATGGTGTGTTCTCTGAGATAAGAAACACCAGCAGAGAGGTGAGATCAGGAGCTCATGCATAGCCAGCGTGATTTTCAGGTTTCCAATTAAAGATGTTAATCAAATAATCAGATACACAGGTCTGGAAGTCAGGAGACTTTTGAGTTGGAGTGGAAGTAAAACTTGAGTTGCTAGAGAAACTGCCAGGATGAAAGCAGACCAGGATGACCTTGCACAGGGAGAGCAGAAGGCAAAACAGCCTCGACTGAGCCTTGAGGAGCTCCAGCACGTGCTGGTAGAGGAGGGTAATTCTGCAAAGGAAACTGAGAAGGAGGCAAAAGAGGTAGGAGGAAAATGAGGATGATGACATGATGGGAGAGAGGGTGGACAAATGAGCAGTCAACTGAGACATGGACAGAAAAATAACCGTTGTGTTTATTAACAGATTTTTTGTTGGCCTCAGTCAGGCTGTTTCTGTGAGTGATGGGGGCAAAAAGCAGGTTGGGGTGGGCTGAGCAGACGGTGTGGGAGAGGTAAGGATGCGGAAGCAATGCTGCACATTGCTTGACGTGGACCAGGGGCTTGTGTGTGCGTGGAAGATTTATTGTAAGAGTAATTGACTATTACGGAATTAAAATGCTTGAAGCACCAAATATCCTGTGTTTTCTTGGAAAAAGTGCACATACTTCTGTAATGGATGATCTTTTGCTCCAAAAAGGAGTTTTACTTTTGCCTCCTGAATATATTCTTGAAATATGGTTTGCTATTAAAATCTACATTGACTTTTGCCAACTGCCAGCATACTTTGAAGAAACAATTTTGCAAGCCCACTAAGTGATGATCGGTTCTGCATTTCCTTGTTCTATTCCTGCGAGGTTAAAAAGGAAAACCCTGCCTAGAAAAAGGCCCATCTCAGTCTGGAACTCGGGTGGCACAGAGGGACCGGGCTAGCCTGGAGGTCAGCATCATGGCTTTCAGTCCAGACTCTGCATTGACTGGTGGGATAACCTTTGATTTGGGGCAAGTCGCTTGACGCTTAGTTCTCAGTTTCTTCGTCTATAAAACAAAGGCTTGGATCCAGATGATTTCCAAGTAACCCTCCATCTCCCAAATCCCCTGATTCTGCTCTTTCAGATTAAAATTATGATTTCTCATTTGTTTATATTGAAAGCAGATTTTTTTAAAGATTTTATTTTTCCTTCTCCCCAAAGCCCCTCAGTACATAGCTGTATATTCTAGTTGTACATCCCTCTGGTTGTGCTGTGGGGCACCCCCTCAGCATGGCTTGACGAGCAGTGCTAGGTCCACCCCCAGGATTTGAACCGGCGAAACCCTGGGTCACCAAAGCAGAGTGTGCAAACTCAACCAGTCGGCCACGGGGCCAGCCCCAGAAAGCAGATTTGGTTAAATTAATGAGAAAGATTTTGTTTGACCCTTATAAGAGCTGTTTTCTTGTTCATGTGTATTTTTTTACTCATGGATCCTGTTTTTAGAAATTGTATGCAAACCATTAAATGTGATTTATTTTCATATTTGTTGTATTAGAAGATATGATTTCATTTATCAGAGCTGCTTTGCATGTGAAATCATATGAGATCACTGAGAGGTGAACTCTTGCCATTTCAACTATTTATGGCTATTTGGGGGATTTTTTTTATTATGCTCTTTTTTAAAGATTTTATTTTTCCTTTTTCTCCCCAAAGCCCTCTGGTACATAGTTGTGTATTTTCAGTTGTGGGTCCCTCTAGTTGTGGCATGTGGGACGCCGCCTCAGCATGGCCTGGTGAGTGATGCCATGTCCGCGCCCAGGATTCAAACTCGTGAAACACTGGGCTGCGGAAGCAGAGTGTGCGAACTTAACCACTCGGCCGGCCCCTATTATGTATGCTCTTTTTAATTTGGAAAACAGCACATCACCCAAACCATAGAATTCACATTTTTTCCATTTAACTATAAATATTTCATAAATATGTGTGCCGCAAGAACAGGCCTGTGTGTTTATTTAACCAGCTAGGATTATGGATTCTTTTTTTAAAGACTTTATTATTTTAGGGCAGTTTCAGGTTCATATGCATTTCTAAATTTTTGAATTTTTTTCATTACCCATAAGAGATTATTTTTTCTTTTAAAATCAAATGATCTGTATCAACCAAATGTCTTCGTTTTCCTTTTCCTGTTTGTTCTTACACTCCCAAAAACGTCAGTTTCCTGTTTTCTCAATTTAAAATTAGAGCTGGCAGTTCGGGACAGACAGTGATGGCTGGGCCTCTACCCAGGAGGTGGGAGGCTCAAAATCAGTCAGTCTGTTAAGGAGATCTGGCATCTCCACACTGTGATTTACTACAGGAGTGGGCAGACTCTCCAGGTTCTTTCTCTGCCTGGAGTTTAGAAGCAAGATGAACCTCTTTGGACTGGAGTTCTTAGAGAATTATGGAGTGACTCATTGGCCCTATTTGTTAGAATCAGAATGTTTTTATACAGTTCAATAAGAAATTATACAGGAAAAAAAAGGCAAAAATGCTGTGGAGGACACAGTTGGTTTTCTAACCAAACACTCATTCCTACTCTTTGTTCCCCACGACTCAGAGGCTTGAAATGCTAAGTTCTCCTTTTACCATGTTGCCTTGTAGTTAGGGTGGCCATGTGAGGTCTCACCAATGAGATGTAGTTGGAAGTCTGCTGAGCATCTCAGGGAGCTTTTGCTCTCTGGATAAAGGGATGGATGTGGCTGGACTGCCTGTTCCTGCCTTCCTCCTGCCTTGCATGTGGCTGTGGATGTCTAGAGTGGTGCTAATTGGTAAAGGGGAGGAGAAGAGAACCTGACCCAAAATTGCAGACTCGCTAAGACAGTGCCATCAGCTGCATGTCTCCAGCCTTCTTGTTCTAGATGAAAAGTAAACCCCCATTTGTTTGAGCCACTTTTAATTGCTGCTTCAGCTGAAAGCATGCCAGTGAGCATTTGAGGGTAAAGAGGGGCAAGAATGGAAGGCTTGATCTGTCTGATAGACTTTAAAACCCAGGAAGCAACAAGTGAATGTAACTGTTCAAAACAAAAATAGACTAGTGGCTCTGCTCACCCCAGCCATCCTTGCATTCCATAGAGCACCAGACCCCAGAGGGTGAGGTGGATGGAAGAGGGAGTGGTCTGATGGGCATGAGGACTCGCAGACGGAGTCCAAACCTGAAGCTGTTGCTGGCTTGGGGTGAATGAACCAGCTCCAACCAGGAGCAAACTTTCCAGCCGAATGGGTGACAGCCTGCCTGGCCCTCTGCCATCCTCTTTGTGCTCCCTGACTTTGGTCATCCCCAAGTACCCAATCCACCCCTTCCCTCAGCCACAGTCTTACACCTTATTCAGCCACTACCTCATCCCTAGTACCTCTCCCAGTTCAAGTTGAGCTGGTGGATGAAGAAAGCACTGTCACCAATGCCTGCAAGGTCATGCCCAGGTCTTGGAACTGGGCATCAGTGTGAAGGTTCTGCAGATATTCATTAAGAGGACCTAGGAAAAACTCGCTCCAGTAATGCTCCAGGATCTCCATAAAACCACAGGAGGGTGGGGCTTCACTAGGGGCTTCCCAGTGCCCATACACACAGGGTTGTGGACGTTGGTGAGGACCTGTGTGCTGGAGGAAATGTCTGCTTATTATCATGGAATGACTGGCATGGAGAATTCCGCCAAGCACAGGAGCGTTCTTCGGAAATCAAAGACCATCCTGAAGACATCCAGTGTTTGCACTTAAAGAACATTCCTCATGGGGATGTCGAGCCTGTGACTCTCTTATACCTCCAGAAAGCTTGAATCCTGTTATGAAACTCAGGGATTTTTCCCAGGAAACTATGAGCCACAACTTCTGTCCACTCTTCCCCTGACACAGCCCCGTGTGGCTCTGGAGAAGTGTGGCCACTCATCGTGGATTCTTGCATGTCATCGTGTTTATCTCCATTCTAACCCAACCTTAGTCTCACCTTCTCTCCTGGTGTGAAGATGCACATCCAGGTGGGACAGTCTGAATTTCACTGCCTTAAGGGACTAGAGAAATCTGAAAGTCAAGATGAGCATCTGGAACCTTCTAGAAATGGTATTTACTCAGAATGACCATCACAGGGTTTATGAACTAGCGCTGGATCATGCCCCTGAGAAAAGTCCTCTAGAGCAGCGGGGTCAGGGTGTGGTCTGTGCACCAGCGCCAGGCCACCAACGGTTCCTTACCTGTTCAAACAAAGTCAGTGCAGAAACTGGGAGTAAGTGTTGGGGGACTTTTACAGCAGGGATATTGCTATGGCAACCAGGCGTTGGATTTGGTATTCGACACAAGTACTACTCTGCAGTGGGGGGGAAGTAAAAACCTGGTCTACAAAGAGTTGGAGAAGGGCCGTCACCAGCCCTGTGGGGAGAAAGTGAAGGAGTGGCCAGGGTGAACCACGAGGTGAGTGGATTGTGAGGAACTCTGTGGTTGCCTCAGCCTGGCCTCTTGGTTACTTCGTTCAGGACAGGGTCTTCTGTGAGCCGCTCTGAGTTCGCAGACCTCCCCAGCCCATGAGAGCCTTGGAGCTTAGTGGGGGGACGAAGTGCCTGAGGCAGTAAGATTGGGCGTCTCATGTACACCTCATTAATCCAGTGGTCTGCTCAACGTCTGATAGATACTTCAAACTAAACACACCCAAAACTGAGCTGATCTTCCCCCGGGCCCCAAACCCACTCCTCCCACAACATCATCTTATCGTTTTCTCAGATGGAAATCTTGGAGTCATTACTGACGTTTCTTTTTCTCGCCTATGTGTCCAGTCTGGCAGGCTGGTTGGCTCTACCTTCCAAACATATCCAGAATCCAAACTCGTCGTACCATTTCTCCTGCTATTGCAGAGGCCTCCTTAAGGGTCTCCCCACTTTACCCTTGCTCCCCAAAGTCTGTTCTCAGTGCAGCAGCCACAGTGGTCCCTTCACGTCACCCCTCTGCTCGGAACCCTGCAGTCGCACACCATTTTACTTGAAAAGCCAAACCTCGTGGCAGCCTCAGGGCCACGTAGCATGTGACCTCATCTCGTCTCACCCTTGGCCGCCGCCTCTGCCTCTGCCACTGGCCTTCATGCTGTCGCTCCCGAACATCCCGGTGTGCTCCCACCCCGGGGTGTCTGCTCAGCTCTGCCTGGAAAGCCCTTCCCCCATCGTCTGTGTGGCTCTCTCACTTCCTTCTCGTCTTTCCTCAAAAACCTCACCTTTTCAGGGAGGCCTGGCTGATCTCCCGCCACAGCTGCTCTCACCCTCTTTCCCAGCACTCTAGACTCTCCTCACCCTGCCCTGCTTTTTCTTGTTTGCACAGAACTTGTAACTTCTTGTTGGAACCATTTTAATGCACTCATCTATTGTTCACTGCCCCTGCCCCACTGGAAGGTAAGCGTCACAGGGGTCGGGGGGGGGCGCTGTTTGTTGGTAAATACGGAGCCAGGCGCTGAACAGATACTTGGCAGGTGAGTGAACGCATCTCCCTGCGGCCGTGAGTCCCCTTGGAGAGTCCCCCTGAGCCTCGCTGCTGCCTTAGGAAGGCGGGTGAGGGAGCAGGAGGGGTGAAGAGCGATCAGGAGGGAACGCGGGGCTGGATTACCCACTGAGAACTGCAGGAGCTCCTCATGCTCCGCTCCGGCGGCAGCCTCCCAGCCTCCCTGTCTGTCAGTCCTCCTGTCTGTCATCCTTCCATTCTGGATGGGCCAGAAACAGAGGTGACAGGTGAAGGGTCAGAGCTCACCCGCTCACAACTTCTGGGCTTCACACAGGCGCAGCAGGACGGCGCACGAGTGGCTGGATCTCCTTCTCCCCGTTAAAGTGTGCTTGTGCCGGGGCTGTGGGGTCTCCATCAGAGCAGGTGTGGGAGCACGGGTCCAGACCGTCCCTCGAATCTTCTCAACTGAAAGTTGGAAAGGAGGAAAAAAGAAGCAAAGAAAAGGTTTAGCAGGTGGAAAACAAAATAAGATGTCACAGTTACGTTCAAATATATCAGTACTCACACCGGCATCCATGTTAAGCATGGGTGTTTAAAGATGAGGGCTTTAGATAGACAAACAGAATCTAACTCGGTGCTTTTTGTAAGAAACTTTCCTAAAAAGAAGAAAAATCTAGACTAGTAATATCAGTATCAGACAGATTAGAATTTAAGGGAAAAAGTATTAACAGGCTCAAAGAGGGTTTCTTCCCTTAAAGGACAATCCACCAAGAACATAACCAATCATGAACAACATAAATAGCACTAAGAATTAAAAGGAAATCCGAGGTTTTTAACACACCTCCATCAGAAATTGCTGGAGCAAGCGCCGGAAGGTAGGAAACGTGCCTAGTGGGCTTCCTGAGGCCCTGCCCGCTCCAAGCAGGGGGCACACGCACTTTCCAAGGACTTGTGGGACGTTCACGGCAGTGAAGATGAGCAGAGATGATAGCATAAGTAGTTGGTAGGTTTAACTGAAGAAGTTTTTGCTTTCTGTACATTTCTTAAAACAATAAAAATTTATGTAAACCGTCTTTTCTTAAGATACTTAATGCCGGGAATGTACCATGATATTGAACGGTAAGATTTCAAGGTACAGGTATTGGACCAGGTGACCTTGAGAGGAGGCTTCGGAAGTCACTGCAGGTGAGGTTAGAGGTATGGGGACTGGACTCTGAGCCAGGACAAGGGGCCGGCCCGGGAGAGGGTGCAAGCACAGTCTGAGGAGGACAGCTCAGGAGGAGGGGACTGAAGCCATTTGCAAAACTTCTCCGGGGAGTTAAAAGAGTAAATAAATGGGATTAATAAAGAAATATGGATTCCTGCTAAGCATAGAGGGAGTGACCAGGAGGGACATTTCGGGCCACTTCTCTGGCCCCAATTTTTAGTTTCTAATACTATTCCTAATGCAGGCTATCTGGTTATCCCAGATCAGTTACTCTCTTTATTTAAATTAGTTCTGGAATTTTGTTTTAAAATCTCAATGCATAATTTTTGAAGTCACACTTTTTAGTAAAAATTTAAATATTTCTGTACGCTATTCTGAGAGCCTGCCTGCGTCTCTAATTTGGAGAACTTTCTCCCTCAGACCTAAGGTCGAAGGAATGTGGTTTGCTGCCCTCAGCCTATGAAAAGGACGCTTGTCTTAGACAGAGCCCTGATTCAGAGGAACAGAATCGGACTCTGGGCCAGCCTGGCCTGACCGCGCAGTCGTGACACGGAGCGGGGAAGCAGGGAGGCCTGGCCGAAGCTGTGGCTGCCGCAAATGTGTTTGAGGGAAGAAAAATTCAGGTTGAATTTCTTAAGAGCATTATTTTTAAAAGTATAAGATTTGTGATTGCAATATAAACCTAAGTCACTTTGGGAGTGAATACAAGGAATTTCCCTGAATAATTCCGCTGAAAAATTTCTCTCACCTTGAGCCGCATTGACTTTTTTTTTCCCCCTAAATTGAACACTTTTTTTTTAAAGATCGGCACCTGAGCTAACAACTGTTGCCAATCTTCTTTTTTTTTCTGCTTTTTCTCCCCAAATCCCCCCAGTACATAGTTGTATATTTTAGTTGTGGATCCTTCTAGTTGTGACATGTGGGACACCACCTCAGCATGGCCTGATGAGCGGTGCCATGTCAGCGCCCAGGGTCCGAACCGGCGAAACCCTGGGCCGCCGAAGCGGAGCACGCAAACTTAACCACTCGGCCACGGGGCTGGCCCCTGCATTGATTCTTTATGGAGCTTTTGTCTTGTTCTAAATAAGATATAGACAGAGCAGAGAGCTGTGAAGCTGAACAGTCTGCTCTGACAAGTTCCTCTGTACAGGTTGCTCGTTGAGTGACTTCCCTGACGCCCCTGGTGGTCTGATAAGGAGGTTACAGAAGTACAACGCCCTACTGCCAAGTCCATGCCGACCAGCAGGAAGGTTGTCATTCCCTCTCTAGGAGCGAGTCACCTGAGAGCCCATGGGCACGGGGACCTAACTGTCTGCTTGGGTGGGAAAGGGCAACCTTCCCTCAAACAGAGCAATGAGACCACCCATGTCACATTGAGATGTTCGTGTGGATCCAGCAGCATCTCACCCATCTTCTCTCTGTGGAATCGTCTCTGCTGTGCTCATCTCAGCCCACCCCACCCCTACCCCCGGGCACTGGCTGAAGGATCAGACCCAGCTCAGAAAATCACCAGCGCTTGAGGTCAGACGTCCTCCCTGATTGGGGGCTCTCTGTCCTCTGGAATGCAGCAGAACCCTCGTCCCCACTAAGAGACTCACCGCGGTCCAGGGGTTCGCCATCTGGTCCTTAGCCCTCATCGTGGACCCTTGCTTCTCACCAGGGAGCCCTGCGCTGAGCTTCTGGAAGTCACGTGGTTCCATCGAGGCATGGGCCTGTGCCCTCTGTCTCCTGACAATAAAGAACATACAGTATCTGCTTGATCGATTTTCTCCTGTGTCTTTTGTAATACCCGATAGACTCTCAGCTCCACCGGGCAGGGGCTTGTCTGTTCTGCCCAGCACTGGCACGGTGCCTGGCACGCCCCACGTGTTCAGCGGTTATCTGTTGAATGATTGAGTGATTAAACGTCCGGTTTAACTGGACACACGGACATACGACCGTAGTGAGGACTGTGTTACTTCACCTGGTCTTTTATTCCCTTTTCCACAAATGTTTATTCAGCACTGACGATGGCAGGCGCTCTGTTAGATGCTGGGAATACAAAATCCCTGGGGGAAGCGGTCTAACCAAGAGGACTTTCCCGACCGGGTAGACTCTCGGAAGCGGTCCTGTGTTCAGTTGGTGGCATGGGTCATGAGTCCTTTGCAGGCAGGCAGCACCCTGTACTAAACCCAGAGAAGCGGGAAGAAATGGGAGGCATTGCCCTCATCGCAGACCCTCGATCTGAAGGGCAGAGGACATGACCATATCCCAAACACTGAACTGTCCTGCGAGAACGCGTCTATGAACAAGGAAATATTAACACACCACCAACTGTGGCAAAGACCTCAGCTCCCTGAGTCACTGAGCAACCGCCACTCACAGCGTCTGTCGGTTCCCGTCCGCCTGCAGGGCCCTTCCCACCCTCTGCGTGGCTCACTGCCCGCACGCACGCAGAGCGCGGCAGTCTGCGTCTGTGTGTCCGGATGCCCTGTTAGTCTCTTTTAAGAGCCCAGTTCTTTTCCTTCCTTTCCTTCCATCCCAATTTGCAATTACATGTTTGTTTCTGGTCTTTCTCCTTCACTGCACTGCCAGCTCCGAAAAGGCGAGGACTTTGTGCATTTTGATCAGGTTCTCTTTCAGATGCCTTGTGCTGTGTCAATAAATATTTGTCAAATGTATGAATTAAGGATCACAGCCAAATCCTGCTTAAGATGTTTTGATACCTGGCTGAGAGGACTGCAGTGGTCATTCGAGAACCCCCGCGCGACTGGCCGCACAGGATTTCTCTCTCCATCCAGCTAAATGACTGTTTTCTCCTGTGCTGGACAAAGTTCTGCTCTAGATCCTGGTTTACTTTTTTTTTTTTTTTACTTTATTTGTTTATTTTTAATTGTGATAAAGACTCTAGTTTACTTTTTTAAAATTGATATTTAAATTTTAAGTGATTTATTTCCACAATTTAAGTGATATTAGTTTTACTGAAATTTTAGAAATAAATGTTTTTAAACATCCACTGATTCAGAAAACCTATCACAAATCAAGTAAATTGATACTCTTAAATAAACGTCCATTGGTCTGTCTTGTATTTTGTTGGGGTTTTTTTGCTTGCTTTTGTTTTTCATTTTTATTGAGCTATAATTGGCAGATAACGTGTAGGTTTAAGGTGTACAACGTGTTGGTTTGACACACGTATTGCAATATGATCACCACAGCGTTAGCTAACGTCTCCATCGCCTCACGTACTTCTCGTTTCATTTTGTGGGGAGAACAGTTAAGATCTAGTCTCTCGGCAACGCTGAAGTCAATAATCCCGTGTTGTTAACTGTAGTCACGGTGCTCTGCGCTCACGCTCCAGAACTTATTCATCTTCTAACTGCCGGTTTTTACCCTTTGACCAACATTTCCCCGATTCTCCCACCCCCTCAGCCCTACCTTTAAAAATAGACAATGATTTACTTTTAAAAATTATAATTTTTGTTCCTATTTTTATGTGGCGTTTTTGGGTTTATGTCTTCAATGACTGAACAGCGATGAAGACACTTTTAAGTGAGGTGGTGAGAGAGGAAACAGCCTCACCAAGGTCTTTAAATGGGCGACAGCCTCTAAGCTTGAAAACAAAACCACAGTTAGATTGTGGCATTTTCTGGTCGTTAGAGGGAGCCACTGCGACCCTCGGCTTTCTAAATCGTAAACTTACAGAGAAACTTCCTTGTCTGTCATCTTAAAACCACAGCCTCTTGAAAGTATTTAAATTAAATTTTAGCTCAGAGTTTTCCCTTAAATAGGGAAGATCCTAACAGGTAGAGAGGAATGAAACACTAGTCAAGTGGTTTACATTTTGACATGCAGAAATGCTTCTTATCAGAATCTGAATTCATTTTCAGATGTTTCAGAGAGGTTTGAAGGGCCCTGCTGTGTTTATTAACAACACAATGACCAGTTAGAAAACTAGGGAGGGAACCGTCTACAAGGAAGGAAGAATGACGACCGTCTGCGGGTCGGAGCCCTAAGAGTCCGGTGACTAGGCAGGTTGCAACACGTGGATTTTCCTTTTAAAAAAACCATTCTGTGCTGATTTCTCATTTTGGCCCCGGCAATTACTTCTCAGCCTGTAATTGTGCGTGCTCTTTCATTTCCTCCTCTAATGATAGAGGAAGCTGCAGTTGCTAAATGTTTGCGCTGAAAATATCAGACAGGGCAACTACCCCAGGAAGGGGATGAGCACAGGCAGGGCTGGTGCCAGGAGGCTATCTAGCTCCTACACCCTTTGCCTTACTCCAGCTTGTTCCTTTTGTCTTCCTTTCCTATCTTATTTAGTTTTTTCTTAACCTTTTCTGCCGCCCTTTTCCTTCCATCACACCTCGAGCTTAGAGCTGAAGCACTGGAGGGCGCTTCTGCTCCACACAGGAATATTCACACGAACAGACGAGACCCAGTGGTCCCTGAAATGTGATGTGAAGAGAGTTCCTGTTTCTATAAATGTAACATATGTGTTTCTCTAACTGACTAAAACAGTTCTGAAATGAAAAGTTAAATGGAAATTGTTTAACATATACAATTGGCAGACGTTTCGTTTTCATTTTCTTAGAGACCTCTACCTCCGTATCTTTCCCCATTACCCTCTTCCATCGATCGTAGGTTGATCAGAGGTCGTAGGTTGACTGGGGATGGTGAGTCGGCTCATCCTCTCCTGGGCCCAGAGAATCCCCTTGCAGCAGTTGATCCTGAGGAAGTTAAGATGTGCACAAGGATTTTGGTCTAGGGACGTTGATCACAGCTATATTGGTTACAGCAACAAATTGGAAAGCACCTAAATGTTCCTGGTCTGCTCATCTGTGTGATTCCCCAGCCTTACTGGAAAGGCGTGGGGTTTTTACTGCATACTTGACCCCTGACCCTCAGTTGGTTGGAGGGGACCCTGGAAGTCCATGGACCTATCCAGTTAATGACTGCTAGTCCTCTCACTTCTGAGTCCAAGCAGCTTGGTTTCCCCTCGGCTTTCAACCTGCTGGAATTGAACGTCCAACCTCTTGGGATTGCAACCCCCTCTACCTCCCAGTTGCTTAGTTACAAGGACCGTGATCTTTTAAAAAAGAATTATCGTAGTCCCCAGAGCTTAGCATTATAGTTAATAGGTACTTAGCAAATTTTTACTGAATGAGCGATTGAACGAATGAGATGTTTGTGGTCTGCCTTAAACCTGATTAACTCTACTTCAAGCTATAGGCCTGTATCTCTTTGCAGAAAGAAATCCTTTACACAGTAACCCATGGGGAAGAACTGACTGCGATTCACAGCATTTAACTTGTTCACCTGACAGAATAGCAGCGATGGTTCAGCCATCGGTTCATTCAACAGATGTGCTGTGTACCTTCTGTGTACCAGGCACTGGAGGTAAAACCACAGAATTAGAAATTCAGAAACTGTATGGCTTGAGCTATGTAAACGACACAATTAAAGTCTCTTAAAGGACTGATTTGTACACCAGAATAGCAATTTCTCAATTCAGAAAAGTAGATGTGCCTGAAACACTCAGTTCCTCTCTGTGGGCATCCCCTCCGTTTATATCAAGGTACCCGTCAAACTGGATAGGCCAGCAGAAAGTTTCCCAGGGGCGCATAGTCAGAGGTGAGGGAATGGACTAACGTAGAAAGCTGTTCCTTTCAAGCCACGGAAAGGCCTGGAAAATTTTATGTGTTTCTCCAATGAATCAATTATTCCTGTGCCAGGCAGTCACGACCCAGTTCTTGCTATTTAATTCCCCTTTTTGTATACTCCTGTATGTGTGTTCTTCCAGACAGGCTCTGAAATAACTAAGTTACAATCTTCATTTTAAGGACGCATCCTGCTCGCTTAGATAAGTCTGGGGTACTCGCCTCATTTCAGCAGCCTTTTCTTGGTGTGGGTTCTTCCCGCAGAGGGCTGGTTCAGCCCAGTTAGGGCGAGACATACAATAAGGATGGATCCCCTCTTGGTGGGGAAGTACTACGATTCAGTAATGGCATTGGGACAATCAATCATTTGTTTTAATAAAAATAAAGTTAGATTCTCTACCTAACACCATTCACAGAAATAAATTCTGGAGGGATTACAGACCCACACATAAAAGACAGAACCCTAAATGTATCAGAAGAAATATAGGAGAATGTGTTTATGACTTTGGGAAACTAGAAGTCATTCTAAACCAGACTCTAAATGTGAAAGACATAAAGGAGGGGCCAGCCCTGTGGTGCAGCGGTTAAGTTTGCACGCTCCACTTCGATGACCTGGGGTTTGCCAGTTTGGATCCTGGGTGCAGACCTACACACCGCTTGTCAAGCCCTGCTGTGGCAGGCATCCCACATATAAAGTAGAGGAAGATGGGCACGGATGTTAGCTCAGGGCCAATCTTCCTCAAAAAGAAAAAAAAAGACGTAAAGGAATATATCGTTGTTTGCCTCAAATTTATCCAGACTGATAAATTTGAAAGCGTGTCAAAGTTCTCTACTGTGAAAGACATCATAAGCAAAGTGACAAGACTGATAGGTTTGAATAACACGTCCAACATGCTTAAATGAAGTTAAAAGGCAAGGGACAGATTAGGAGATAACATTGGCCATACGTGTAACACAGAAGGGAATAGCATTTAGATCTATAAAGCACCCCTACAAAAAAGAAAAACTCAGGGCTGGCCCGGTGGCACAGTGGTTAAGTACGCATGTTCTGCTTTGGTGGCCTGGGGTTTGCCAGTTTGGATCCTGGGTGTGGACATGGCACCGCTTGGCAAGCCATGCTGTGGCAGGCATCCCACATATAAAGTAGACGAAGATGGGCATGGATATTAGCTCAGGGCCAGTCTTCCTCAGCAAAAAGAGGAGGATTGGCAGCAGATGTTAGCTCAGGGCTAATCTTCCTCAAAAAAAAAAAAAACCCAAAAATACTCAAATAAACCAATGGGACCATGGAAAAATAATAGCATAAGTTATTGATAGAAAAATAAATACAGTTAGCCAGTGAACACATGAATAGAAGCTGAAGCTCACCACTTATCGGGGAAAATTGGTTATGTTTAGAATATTAGGATAACAATTTTCAACCATTATATTTGCAAAAATTAAACACATTAATAAAGTATATTGACGTGGGTATGGGAAAACGTACACACACCTGCCAACGGGAATATAAAACTGATACAGCCATGTTTAAGGGCAGTTTGACAGTATTGCGTAAAATAAAATTACGCATATGCTATGAGCCAGCAATTCTACCCATTAGTGTCTACTTTTGAAAACCACTGGCGCTTGTGCACAAGGAAACACGTACAAGCATGTCATTGCAGAGTCCCTCACAGGGAAAGCCTGGAGACACTGAACCACGAAAGAAGAATGGCTCATACAGCGTGCACTCCAGCTACATATGCAGCGGCGTGAGGCCGTTAAGGGAGTGTGGTAGGGCCGTGCCGGCCGGGATGGCTCTCCACAGTGCCCACTTGGGGAAAAAGAAAGTTGGATATATTGCTATGATACCTTTTTAGGTAAAAAGAAAAGAAACCACACCACAGAATGAAATTGTGTGTTTCCTAAAGGACACAGGCCAATGTGTGTAAGTGAGGAAAGGAGAACTGAAAGGACGCTAACTGACTCGTAAGCCAGGTTGCCTCTGGGGTAACGAGGGACAGGGAGGTGGGTGGAGTCTGAAGGGGATTTGGCCTCGACTATAATGTTGCCTCTTTTTTAACAAGGAGAATTTATGTATTATTTACTTAAATTTTATTTTTAAAAATTAAGTCAGTTTTCTGGTTAACTGACATAGACAAATGTGTATACTCCCTTTAAACAGACAGAGATCCTCCATAAAAGATCAAATAAAATTTAAATACATATAAACTTACAAATTCAAAGACAGACACATGTACGTCTATAGCATAACTTGAAATCAAGAAAGACATATTTTCTCTTGTACCAGAAATAAAAAGGCGCCCCCCGAAATGTAAGCGTGAATACTACTGGGAGACCAACTCAGAGAGAGGAGCAGGGTGGAGGGAATCTAGAGGAGACTGAACATCTCTGTTTGTCCGTTCATTCATTCATTCATTCAGCTAGCTATTTCATTTTTAGAACCAGAACATTTATTGCATGACTGACCGTTGAAATCCTGAAGCTGAACTGTTAGGTACCACAGGCACCTATGAACATTTCTGTCTAAAGGACACTGGACACTGTCTCACTTCACTGTTTAAGTGATCAGATCCACTCAGATTGATGTTGGACAGTTAAGTAATGCCCTATTAAACTCCGGGTGGGCTCGGGAAGGCTCGTGGGCAGAGCCGCAGCGTTCCTTTTCACTTGCCTCTCGGAGCTGTGGCGAGGTAAACGTGCAGCCCGCTACTTACACAACAGTCCGCTGCGATGTTGTTTGTGGATCTCTTTCCCGCATGTTTTCAGAGCCGGCTGTGGTCACGGCCACGAGAGCTGGTGAGGCAGTGTCCTGTTTGCTCCAGCGGTGACAGTCAGCGTACTGCGCTGCCAGACTGTGCCAGGGAGGGGACCCCAGCTGGCCGCTGCGGCGCACGTGCTGCGGGCCAGTCATTTGTGCTTCTTTGGCTTAACTTTCTGCTGTTTATCTTGGGTTCTAGAGAAGAGTTTGACCCAAGAATGTCTGACATAATCACATAAGTGATAGTGTTGGCTCACAATAAAGAAACAAAGAATATCATGGCATTTTTTGAAAAGCGAGTGTCACAGGGACCTGAATTAGGGGACCGACCAATAGAAGTTGGCTGTCCCCTTCTAGATCTAGCCGCATTAGAAAAAATCTGAAGATCCCTATGCCTCTGAGGCAGCTCCTCATCGTGGAGAAGGCACCGTGTCTTTTTACCCTCTTTGAAGGTCAGCGTCAGAAACCCCTGGAGCCGGCTGCGGTGGTTGGCCAGTGCCAAACACCCGGAGACCAGCAACAGGTAATCCTAGCAGTCAGGCAGAGGCTGCTGACCTTGAGGGCGGGGATTCTCTGACCCACTCGAGGCATGCACGGAGCACAGCAACATGAGCCGCCTGCCTCGGGAGGAAGGCTTCGGTGCCGCCAAGGACTGCCCTCCAGTCCTGCTGGGTGGTGCTACTTTTGTGGGATTTTCATATGAAGCCCGTGCTGACCTGCCCTTCAAAGACACCCATCTCTGCCTGAGCTGTCAGATTTGCCAATGCTGAGTTGTACCATAATTATTCACTCAATGAAAAATCATATCAGTCGGATTCTCAGTGGTAAGTAACAGAAACCAACCATTTTAGCTTGCTAGGGCTGCCTTAACGAAGCGCCATGAACCAGGTGGCTGAGAAGAATAGAAATTTATCGTCTCGCAGTCTGGAGGCCAGACGTCCGAAATCAAGGTGTCAGCAGGGTCGTGCTCTCTCTGAAGGTGCTGGGAAGGCTCCGTTCCAGGCGTCTCTCCCAGCTTCCGAGAGCTCCTTGGATTGTGGCAGCGTAACTCCGGGCGCTCTCCCTGTGGGTCTGTGTGTCCAAATTTCCCCTTTTTATAGGGACCCCAGTCCTAGTGGATTAGCGGCCCAGCCTACTCCAGTATGACTTCCTCTTAACTAATTATGTCTGCAACAACACAAATAAGGTCACATTCTGAGATAAGGGGGTTAGGACTTCAACACATGAATCTTTGGGGACCCAGTTCAACCCATAACACCAACCTTGTGTGATTTACGGGGGGAAGAAAAAGACTATTAACAGGATATTGCCTCACAGAGTCATTGGAAAGGCTGATGAACCAGATGGGAAAGTGGGCAGGTCCAGAGAAGGCTGGGCAGCAGCCAGAACCACAGCCCAAATCATGCCCCAAACCAGCCCGGTGCGGACGTCCTGGCCTCTGCAGGACCCTGGGCACCACCACTTATGCTGCCCCAGAATCTCGGAGCTGCCATGCTGCAGCTTCCAGATACCTTGAGCCGCCCGATCCAAGGATGGGCATTCCGAGATCTTGCCTTTGTATTCCTAGTCCCTAATTCTAAATCTACGTCAGCAGCCCACGTCCCAGCTGCAGGCGGGCTGGGAAAGCAAGCATCTGTAGTTTTGCTTTTAGTAGTGGGAGGAGGGGCTGCCTCACCAACACACACAGTGGAGAATTCGTCAAACACAGGAAGGAGGTTCAGAGGCCCAGGGTCCAGAGAGAACACAGATGTCCACTCCGAGTACGTTTATCCTCTCTGCTGTTGTTCAGGAGTGGAGCCGCTACAATCCCAATGTGCGGGCCATAAGTAATTCGTTATATTGCTGGGCCTAGGCCTGCATTAGGACATGGTGATGAGTGTTTTAATTTGCACTTACTGCAGTTTTTTAGAACACATCCCTAATATTAAATAATATATTATATATTAGGGTTGAAAAGGGCAACATAATTACAGATACAGTAAAGACTCCTATATCAGACGATCATAATATAAACGGTCATACCCCAAAAACGGAAAGCTGTGATGAAATGGATCGTTCTCAAGAAAAAAATATAAATTAACAAAATTGACTTTAGGAGAAACAAGAAATTGAAGCAACAATCATTAAAGAAATTGAAATTTCTTTAGTAGTCAAAAATCTCCAACATCAAAAGACATCTCCAGGCCTGGATTGTTTCCTAGACCAGTTTTATCAAGCCTTTAAAGAACAGGTAATTCCAGTTTTGTACAAACTGTTTCAGAGAATAGAAACAACTACTTGTAAGACCATTAAAACTGTGATCTCAGAACTAGACCAAAGTTTACAAGGAAATAACAGTATAGACCCGTCTCAAAAACCTAGACAAGAAATTCCCAATTAAAAATATCAGTGTAAAGAGTTTCTTATTGGGGTTCTACTGAAATCCAATGTGTTTTGTTGGATGTACCATGTCAGCCCCTTTTTCTCTGGGAATTGGTCTCCCTCAATGACACCTCAATCCAAATCCATCATTTCCCAGTTCTTTTAGTTATTAAAAGTTTCACTTCAGTTATTAACACTGACTCCTCCATTTCGAAACTTAAATTCACGTTTGCTTCAAAGCTTTCCTCCCTCAGCCACCACAGCAGACTGAAGTTGTGGCTCTGGGGACCTGACACTGAGGATGGGGATATGGGATGTGGGGCATGGATCTGCTTGTCACATCCCACTCCCTCTTTCCTGTTCTTGCTTGTGGTACGCAGAGTTCCAAAAATGACCCTCAATGACTGCCCCTGTACAACCCCGTCCCCTTGGTGTGTGCGTAGATCCTGTGACGATGGTGAGATATTATGCCTAGGCTTATGTTACATT